GGGTTCTGTGTGGGAGGTTTGGCAATTCTATCGTTGGTGGGGTTCAGAATGCTCTGTGATTGTAGGTGAACTATAAATCCCAGCAACTACAACTCCCAAATGTCAAGATTCTATTTTCCCCAAACTTCACCAGTGTTCACATTTGGGCATATTGAGTATTCATGTAGAGTTTGGTCCAGATCCATCATTGTTTGAGTCCACAGTGCTCTCTGGATGTAGGTGAACTACAACTCCAAAACCAAAGGACACTGCCCACCAAACCCTTCCAGTATTTTCTGTTGGTCATGGGAGAACTGTGTGCCAAGTTTGGTTCAGTTCCATCGTTGGTGGGGTTCAGAATGCTCTTTGATTGTAGGTGAACTATAAATCCCAGCAACTACAACTCCCAAATGTCAAGGTCTATTTTCCCCAAACTACACTAGTGTTCGTATTTGGGCGTATTGAATATTAGTGCCATGTTTGGTCCATATCTATCATTGTTTGAGTCCTACAGCTCTCTGGATGTAGGTGAACTACAACTTCAAAACCAAAGGACACTGCCCACCAAACCCTTCCAGTATTTTCTGTTGGTCATGGGAGAATTGTGTGCCAAGTTTGGTTCAATTCCATCATTGGTGGGGTTCAGAATGCTCTTTGATTGTAGGTGAACTATAAATCCCAGCAACTACAACTCCCAAATGACAAAATAATTTTTTGAGTGAAGGACATACATTGGGTTGTTAGGTGTCTTGTGTCCAAATTTGGTGTCAATTTGTCCAGTGGTTTTTGAGTTCTGTTAATCCCACAAACGAACATTACATTTTTATTTATATAGACTAGCCGTCCCCTGCCACGTGTTGCTGTGGCCCACTCTGGTGGTCATGGGGGTTCTGTGTGGGAGGTTTGGCCAATTCTATCATTGGTGGGGTTCAGAATGCTCTGTGATTGCAGGTGAACTACAAATCTCAGCAACTACAACTCCCAAATGTCAAGATTCTATTTTCCCCAAACTTCACCAGTGTTCACATTTGGGCATATTGAGTATATTGTGTAGATGGAAATACTTTTGCCGGTGGATTTTAGAAGGGAGGGATTTTCGCTACCTCCTACGGTCCTTCCTGCACCTCAAAAATTCACTTTTGGACCAAGGAACCCTCCTGATCCAGCTTTTAGGATCATCAGGGAGGAAAACAAAACTCTCCCACATCTTTGTTTACTGTTACACTTTTGGAAATAGCAACCTTCTATAAGCCCCCTATACTAGTTATTTGTTACGTATATAATTGAGATTGCTTACTATGTTAGAATTTTTAAAAAAAATTCTTTAAAGAAACTATAGATTTTGAAATCATATCTGCATGACAGATGTAGGGGGGGGGGGAGCTGAGTGATCACTGGGGTATGCAGTTTTCCCCATAACTCTATGTTGTTACAGGTTGAGGGATAGACTATAGAGTATAGACCATGTGACCCTGATCTGAGAATGTTCAGAGTGAGACTCCATTTTGGAATCCATTTGAACCAGAAGTCTGTTGGGAGTCAGTTAGAGCAGGAGTAGAGTCAGTCAATATATGAGTCTGATTGCAGCAGATGGATAGAAACCAATCAGCAATGTACCTTCTTGCTAAATACACGAAGCTTGTAAGTAAATCAACTATGTTAACTTTTAACAAAGGTTACTTATTTTTTTGGTCTATTGAGAACATGATTTAAAAACAATATATTTTACGGGAGAGTAGATTATATATTTTTGTGCAACAGAAATAACACTTCTGAAGATCTGCTACATACTTTATGCATTGGCATCTCTTTGTTCCTAGCAGTTCAAAGAGATAGCCAAGTATATCAGTCTAACAGCTGAGAAGCCTAAATTGCTTGTATAAATACTAGTGGATATTTACCACTAAGGCAGTGGTTCTCAACCTGTGGGTCCCCAGGTGTTTTGGCCTACAACTCCCAGAAATCCCAGCCAGTTTACCCAGCTGTTAGGATTTCTGGGAGTTGAAGGCCAAAACATCTGGGGACCTACAGGTTGAGAACCACTGCACTAAAGAGAAGATTGACTCAGGTGAGTTTTTAACTCTTCTCGGGAAGATCATACTTTATGACATGGTTACGATCTCTATCAAGGTCATGCCTTTCCAAAAGGTTATGATTATTCCAAATAGTCTGCCTACCAGTATTGAAAAAACTCTAAAATTACAACAGCAAAACAACAGAGAGGAAACAATCTGGGACATATAATCACCTCTCAACAAAAGATTGCCCCAGGCACTGCCAGGCCATCAAATGCTAATCAAGGTGGTCAGTTGAAACATTCACACCTAGCTCCAGCAGACAAGAGTCCTTTGTCCCACCCTGGTCATTCCACAGATATATAAACCCTTTTCCTAGTTCCAACAGACCTCACTACCTCTGAGGATGCTTGCCATAGATGCAGGCGAAACGTCAGGAGAGAATGCCTCTAGAACATGGCCACATAGCCCGAAAAAACCTACAACAACCCAGTGATTCCAGCCATGAAAGCCTTCGGCAATACATTCCAAATTGTGTCAGTGCCAATCAGTCTCCAAAAGGGTCATACCTCCAAAAGCCTGTGGAGATTCCTGGTTTTCCCAATATATACAGTGCTCCAAAACTAAAGCTGGAAATAAGCAATTACGCAATTAAGCCAGTTTTAATTTCTTCTTGTAAATAATAGTGCCCTCTGATAAATCATAAGCTCAGTATTGGAGGACCTAGAGATTCCTAAAGAGGTGTTCTCAGGGATAAAAGGAATAGCAATTTTCATTTGTATTTTTTTTCTTTTTTTTTTTATTTTTATTATATTTGTATTTTTTATTCTTTTAGTTTTTTTTTTATATCTCAATTTTTCTTTATTTTTCTTTTTTTTTTTCATTTGTATTTTTTTTCCACTTTTGAGGGCGTCTTCTGCCCCTCACCCCTATGAATGTGCGAGTCTGACTGCATAATGGAGCAGCTGGAGGTGAGGTGGTGGGAGAGAGAAATGCAGTATATACAATTTCTGCTGATACTTTTTTTTGGCAAATTGGAAACAGATTGATTCATCTTTAAATGATCCAAAGGCTGCCTGATTCAACTTGGTCCCAAATCAGAAATGTCATTCAGTTTGGCAAAGCCAAATCTTCATTCTCCATATTGGCAACATCAAGAAATTAGCAAATAGTCTGATTTTTGTGTGTGTGTGTTTTGAAAGAGTTAGATGACATCTGCAAATATGGTCTATCCTTTAGAAAGAATAAAATACAAGTATAAGACAAAAAGTGGATTTTGTGGAAGTAGCCTTTAATATGAAACTATATATCCACAAGTCTCTTTTAAAAGAGAAAAAGCAGAATAATAATAATAATAATAATAATAATAATAATAATATTTTCACCTTTTGGAATATCACACCTTTTAGCTTCTTTGGATAATCTCAAGTTCTAGCATTATGAAAATAAACAAATTGGCCTTTTTCAAAATAATCCACTTTTTTCATATTTATATACAGTACCCCTTTTGTGTATATTTTTCTTTCATTGCCTTGATTCTAAGCCTTTCAAATATATTCTTTTATTGAGGGGAATTTATATACCTCTACTATTTATATTTTCCTTTACTTTTATTGTTTCTAACACCTCCCCCAACCATACTCTTTTTTTTTAGGGGAATTCCACCTAAAATTTTATAATTTTGGTTGCTTGTTCTAATTTTTCACTGTCTTTCTGATACCTAGTGACCAAGCATTTTATGCAGAATTCTAGTGCATTTGGTGCATTTCCCACTAGCTGAAAGCTATTTATTCTTCTTACACTGAATCCATTTGTAGCATCTTCCTGTTCTCATTCAGTTGATGAATCATCTGTTCAAAACTTTGACCAGTTGTGACTTGCATCTTCCTTCATTCAAGAATGTTCTCCTAATTGCAGTCATGTCTGTTCAGGTTGTTAAACCTTGCTGCGATTGTCTTTGCATTTGGAAGCATGCTGACATCTTTCGTCTCAATTAGATTCCAGTCTTCTCATTATTCCGCACATATCCTTAAGCAGGCCATGTAGTTTTCCCACAGTGACTGGACCAACATTATCTTCATTCTGCTGCCTTTAAAGAGAACACATTTTGTTTGAACCATATATATTTATCTTAAACTTGGAAAGGTACATTTTTTAGGCTTATTTTGTATTTTAACTAACCAGTTCCTAGCACTCAATATAATGATGAAAGCTTACTACATTTTTACCCGTAACATAACTTTGCTCATATTTGTTACATTGCTTAAATGTAACTGAGCTACATCTTTGTTATAGTAACCCACAATCGAACCATTTGCAACTAACATTCACTGCTTAGCCGGTATTACACCACCTGACATCTGCCGGGAAGTAGCAGCCAATAGTGAAAGGACCAAGGCAGTGACATACCCAGCTCATCCCTTGTTTGTGTATCAGCCAGCATGTCAATGACTTAAACCAGATCTACAGAGACACTCTCTGGAACACCTCAGCAAGCGAGAGTCCAAAAGTGGCAGGCTCAAACCCAGAATCTCAATCAATGGCTGATACTAAATGAGAGACTCCCCCCTGGGCACACAGAAAACTGGGCGACTTGGAAGGCGCTGAACAGACTGTGCTCTGGCACCACGAGATGCAGAGCCAACCTCAAGAAATGGAGCCACAAAGTGGAATCCACGACATGCGAGTGTGGAGAAGAGCAAACCAGACCACCTGCTGCAATGCAACCTGAGCCCTGCTACATGCACAATGGAGGACCTTCTTATAGTAACACCAGAGGCACTCCAAGTGGCCAGATACTGGTCAAAGGACATTTAATCAACTACCAAGCTTGCAAACTTTGTGTTTTGTCTGTTTGTTCGTTTATTTTGTTAAAAATGTAATACAACTGTCTGGTTGCTCCTGACACGATAAACAAACAAACAAACAAATAAGCCCTCAACATTCATTTTTCAGGTAACTTCCAAAATTGCTCTCTGCAAATTGTGTGTATTTCTGCTGTTGTTTTCAAGGGTTTCAGTGCCTAACTTGTTTAAAGGAACTACCGTACTTAGTTCACTTTCTTAGGCCCCTTCCACACAGCGGAATAAAATCCCACATTTTCTGCTTTGAACTGGAATATATGGCAGTGTGGACGCAGATAATCAGTTCAAAGCACATATAGTGGGATTTTCTGCCTTGATATTCTGGGTTATATGGCTGTGTGGAAGGGCCCCTTGATAAGTGACTGTTTCATCGAAGGGGAGTGGGTAGGATTTATAAAGACTTTCCTGACCTGTTTGTCTTGACATCTTACTGGCATCTCATTGCAACTAGTAGGCTACTTTTGAAGGCAAGGTGGGTTGCCATTCTGCCTAAAATAGACTTTGGTCACATGAATATCAACATGGTGGAGAACTACAGGCCAGTAGTTTGCTGGCCTATGGGAATTCTGAAGAGTCAGTTCTGTACCCCATTCTGTTCAACATATTTATTTATTTATTTCAGATATTTGTACCCCACCCTTCTCAACCCCGGGGTGGGATGGGGGGACTCAGGGCTCAACCTGTATTGATGTTTTTAATACAACAGTTTGTTGTCGTCGGCAGATTTTTAGCTGTACCTTGTTTTAATTTATGTTGTGAGCTATTTGGGTCCTATGTTGGGATAAAAGTGAGCTATAAAATAAATACATACACATAGGACTCCAGAGTAATATCAAGCAGCAATGAAAATGTAACTGAGTTACAAGGCGTTTACCTGTCCTTTGAGGCAATGTGCAAATCTGTTGAGACCAAGTGCTGGCTCCTATTGTTTCACTCTTGAAGGTTTGTGGGTGTTGCTCTGCATTGGCACAAGATCCCATATACTTACTTGTAAAAACAACCAGGAGCAGAATGTGATGTTTAGTTTTCTTTGCCAAACGTATCCTCATTTAGCATGAATTAATTAAAAAAATTTCTTACACAGGAAATAGATGCTTCTACTGTGGCACTACCTCAGACAGATGTACAGTTGGGAGAAATTGAAAACTTGGAGGAGTTTGTGCTACGCCCTGCACCCTGTGGCGTTACAGTGAAGTGTCGGATCACAAGAGATAAAAAAGGGATGGATCGAGGTCTGTTTCCTACATACTATATGCACCTGGAATGGGAAGATGACCGAAAGGTACTTAGAACAATGGCATGACATCTAGTCCTGAATTTATAGGTGTAAAATAGATGCTGTAAGGTACAAAACCATACATAAAGTTTGCCAACCACTCCAAAAGAAGAATGAAAATCTAGAAAGAGCAAATATATATATATTTGTTATTCCAATATATATATATATAATGCTGGAGCACGTTAAAGATTTTCTGCATGGTGTTGAGAGTGTATGGCCGTGTTCCAGAAGCATTCTTTCCTGACGTTTTGCCCAAATCTTAGGCATCCTCAGAGATTGTGAGACCTGTTGGAAACTAAGCAACTGAGGTTTATATATCTGTGGCATGTCCAGGGTGGGAGAAATAACTCTTGTCTGCTTGAGGCAAGTGTGAATATTGCAATTGGCCAGCTTGATTAGGATTGAATGGCCTTGCAGCTTCAAAGCCGGACTGCTTCCTGCTTGGGGAATCCTTTGTTGGGAGGTGTTAGCTGACCCTGATTGTTTCTTGTCTGGAATTTCCCTGTTTTTTATTTACTTCCCTGATTTTAGAGTGTTTTTAAATACTGGTAGCCAGATTTTGTTCATTTTTCATGGTTTGATCAAAATCTGGCTACCAGTATTAAAAAAAAACTTTAAAATCAGGACAGTAAATAAAGAACTACACTCAGAAAACAGGGGAATTCCAGACAAGAAACAATCAAGGGCAGCTAACACCTCCCAACAAAGGATTCCCCCAGGCAGGAAGTAGCCAGGCTTTGAAGCTACAAGGCTATTTAATGCTAATCAAGGTGGCAGATTGCAACATTCATAGCTGCCTCAAACAGATAAGAGCTCTTTCTTCCATCCTGGACATTCCACAGATATATATAAATCCCACTTACCTAGTTTCCAACAGACTTCACAACCTCTAAGGAAGCCTGTCATAGATGTGGGTGAAATGTCAGGAGAGAATACTTCTGGAACATGGCCATACAGCCCAGAAAACTCACAGCAACTCAGTGATTCTGGTCATGAAAGCCTTCAACAACACAAATTAAATATAAATCTTTTAATAATAATAATAATAATAATAATAATAATAATAATAATAATAATAATAATATATGTATACCCTGGCACCATCTCTCATAGGAATTTGGGGCAGCTTACAAAGCACACAATGGTGCCATACAACATATATTGAAACAGATATAGTAATTTCTTTGTAAGTTAATAACAACAAGAAACATTTAAACATTGCTGTTGCCGGATGTTGCAGACCTCTCTGCACTCACTAAAATATCCTGCAAGAAAATGAAATCCTTCCTTCCTAAACTCATTTTGAATCTGTGAAACTTTGGAATCCAAGATATTAATTCCTGTAAAATTCAATTGAAACATTTGCTAGAGTTTAGATAGAATGTTAAAAATACAGGTACCAGGGCTGACTTGAAATATTTTATCTCAGTGCTCCAGTCATTTTTTGAAATGTTTTTAGGTATTCCTTCTTGCGGGAAGAAAAAGGAAAAAAAGCAAAACATCAAATTATCTCATTTCAATTGATCCAACGGATTTATCCAGGGAAGGAGGAAGTTTCATTGGAAAACTCAGGTGAGACTTACAAAATTAATAAATAAATGAAGCTACCTATGCTGTCCAGTCATTTACTTTTAGCAGCAGTACTGCTCCAAGATCTCCTGTTACTTTGATCTGAGGGTGTCAGAGAGTGAATTGGGAAGTTTCTGTAGTTAAAGTCACCAAATGTTCAGTGATATTCTTGCCTTCCTGAAGGGGGCGGAGGGAAGACCTTTCTGCTATGATGGATGGCATGTCTTCGTTCTGTACCATGCCAGATAAATCTGTCCCAATTTAGACTGAGTATGACTTGCTTTTCGTGCATACTTGTATGATCGTTCATATAATACTGCAAATCATAACCTTATGGTTAGACAGTATGAACTAGACAGATCAGCCTTTGAAAGCCAAGGAGTTGAAGATCCAACAAAGAGGGTGAGGTGGATTTCCATACTTTCCCCACGGCATAAGAAGACTCATACAAACTTTGGGTAAAAGCGGTAATAAAATGACAGTTTTATTCTAAGAGAAAGGAAATCTATGTGGTTTTTTCCCCTTAATCATAGATCAAATCTTATGGGGACTAAATTTACCGTCTACGATCATGGGGTTAGTCCAATCAAAGCACAAGGACTAGTGGAAAAAGCCCACACTCGACACGAGATGGCTGCTATTTGCTACGTAAGTGACTTCACAATATAATACTACTACTAATAATAGTATATTGTAATTATATATTTTATATTAAATGTAATATTACTAATGATATTACAATATAATGCTATAGTACAATGTAATATATAATATTAATATTGTGCTATGGTAATAACATAATATATTGTATTTACTTTTTACTTGTAAGCCTCTCTGAGTCCCCTTTGGGGTGAGAAGGGCGGCATATAAATGTCGTAAATAAATAAATAGATGGGGTAGAAGGAGGTGTAGACTTTTGTCCCTTAGCAACTTATACTAGAGGGGATTATAAATTGGAGGAAAATCCTGTTTGGGCTGAAAGCTTAGGGCAGGATTTCCACCTAGAGCAGTGGTTCTCAACCTGTGGATCCCCAAATGTTTTGGCCTACAACTCCCAGAAATCCCAGCCACTTTACCAGCTGTTAAGATTCCTGGGAAGTTGAAGGCCAAAACATCTGGGGACCCACAGGTTGAGAACCACTTACCTAGAGCCCGCTTAGCAGGTAGCTGACCAACTCTTTTGGAACACATCAAGAAAGGAAGATCCAACACCACACTAGGAAATTGGTCCATCATCAAGCTGCTTTTTCGGCCAAGATGTTCCTTCTAAAGTTCAATCAACATCTACCATCATACCATTATCTTTGTGACAAATCAGTTTCAGCAGCATTCGGCTGTGCAACTGTCTCCCAACCACAATTTGGGATCATGGAGTGTAGCCTCCATCGAGCTCCCGAGCCAGTTTGGGGATGTGAAACATAATCTCATGTAATCATAGACCAGTGGCTCTCAACCTGTGGGTCCCTGGGTGTTTTGGCCTACAACTCCCAGAAATCCCAGCCAGTTTACCAGCTGTTAGGATTTCTGGGAGGTGAAGGCCAAAACATCTGGAGACCCACAGCTTGAGAACCACTAACATAGACGATCACTTGTGGCCAAGATCTTCCAGAGGGAGAGTCATGGTGGTGGATCCACAAATGACTGTGAAGTCCTATTCTTGATTCTCACACTGAAGACATAGATTTCCAGACAGGAGACAGTCAAGACAAGAATTTGTTTGATGTACCTTCCTCTTGGCACATTTCTTCCTTTTGCCCTCTGTTCATTCCTCTTCAAAATCCATAGTACCATTGTTCGCCAGTTACAGCACAAGAATAACCGGGCTTTTCGGTTCTTGGTGTTTATACCCCTTTTTTGTTCCAAAACAGTACTTTTTAAAATATAACAATGTTGAAAAAAACTTGAGAAGGTATCCATGAGTGTCCAGGAAACAAATTTACATAAACATTTTAACCTCCTTTTTTGGAAGACTCTGCAACACTGTCATTGTTGTCAGTATCTGATGTGCTGTCCTCAGCACTGCTCACAGCAGATAGATGTTTTTTCCTCCACATCAGTTTCCCACACTGCATCATCTTCGGATTCATTCAGTGCATTAGAAATGCCAGTTTTTTAAAAAGCTTTTGACAACAATGTCCTCCGTGATAAGGTCCAAACTCTTGACCTTATAATGACCCATGTGTACATCGATTCTAAGGACGGGCCCTTCATATTTCCAACAGATGTCAATTGGTAGTCATTGCTCATCATCCGCTCATTATACAAATGGTGCAAGTTGTCTTTAAAGGGCTTGTTTATTGATTCATCCAGTGGCTGCAAAATAGAAATTTAAGCACCAGGAATCACAATCTCTTGTGTCTTATTGTCACGGAGAAGTTGCTTCACTTGCTTGACAACGTGACTTCACAAACTGTCCAAACCTAGCAGAGCTGACTGTTTCTGTAGCGCATCTGGCTTTTTGTTCCACACAATTTTAACCCAATCCACCATGAGTTCCAAATCCATCCAATCCGTACAAGAAATTGTACTCCCTTAGGCGTTGTTTTCCTTCTAAAAATAATGTAAGTTTCATTCCATCTGTTGTAATAGCAAGCATTATCGTGTGATCACTTGTGATCGCTGGTTCTCTTACATTTTATTATACGTTTAAAAAGAAAATCAAAAATTTTTCACACAAAGAAAAAAGGCAAAAGAAGGAGAGGGTAAGGGTTGTGGAGCTCTGATTAGTAACTTAAGATGATATATGTCTACTATATCACAGAGAAAGAGAAAGGGGATTGAGGGGGAAGAGTACTTGTGTTTGTTATAATTATTACATCACTGGTTTTCCATTGATAATAGATCATGTTGGATTTAGGGGAGAATTATTTTCTATATTCTTAATTTTACTTTCTCTTATTTGATTTCTACTATCTTCCTTCAAAGGAAACCAATGTACTAGGATTTAAGGGACCCAGGAAAATGTCAGTCATAATTCCAGGAATGAATCTGAATCATGAGCGGATCCCTATCAGACCAAGAAATGTAAGTTTAAAATAAGTCTTGAGGCAAAGGGTGAGAGGTTTAAAAAGGAAGATGGGGAAGGGAAGAAGATGATATTCAACCAGGTTTGTGGATGGAGAGGAGGAAAAAGTGAGACAGGAGAAGCGGGAGGGGTAAAGGAAGGATATTGAGTCAGTAAAGGCTGGGCAGGAGGAGAGAAGTGAAGGGATATTACTATTATTATTATTATTATTATTATTATTATTATTATTATTATTGTGTCAGAAGCGACCTGAGAAAATACAAGTCTCTTCTGGTGTGAGAAAATTAGCCATCTACAGAGATGTTGCCTAGGGGGCACCTGTGGGAGGCTTCTCTCATGTCCCTGCATGGGAAGCTGGAGCTGACAGATGGGAGCTCACCCATCTCACAGATTTAACCGCTGGCCTTCAGGTCAGCACTTCAGCCAGCACAAGGGTTTAACTCATTGCGCCACCGTGGCTCCTGGAAGGATAAAGAGAACAAGGAAAGAAGAATTTTGAAATGAAGGAAATTTTTAATGTAGAGCAGGAGTTGCAAAAGAGGGAAAAGAAGAAAGAGGATCAAAAATAGAGCTAAAGCAGTGAAACCAATAAGAAAAATAGGAAAGCTCCATTTTTCTCACTACTCAAAATTGTGGTCACATTATCTAATTATATATTAGATAAGGGTGATAACAAACATGTATTAAACCAAATGTGTTATATATTGGAATAAGAAATATGGGAATGTCCAGCCATTTTCTGTGTAAGCGGATGTGAAAATGGAACAGAGGCTTTTGCTCATTAAAAAGAAATGTGAATGTGAAGTTGAAGTATGATTCTTAGTAATTTTGCAGACCAAACCTGAGTGAAGGGGATGAAAAACCTGTGTTAGCTTCCTCCCACCCTTTATTCTGTTGTATAGGAGCATGAGAGTTTGTTGGCAAAATGGCAAAATAAAGACATGGATAACCTGATCGAGTTGCACAACAAAGCCCCAATATGGAATGATGATACTCAGTCGTATGTCTTGAATTTCCATGGAAGAGTCACCCAGGCCTCTGTGAAGAATTTCCAGATTGTTCATGAAAATGACCGTAAGTGTTGAAGCAGGGGCCGAAGGGCCAAACTTCCCATTCAGTAGATGGCAGCATCGGTGTAGAGAATACATTTTTTTCATTTCTGGATTAGATGGGGATAGGCCAAAAAGGGGAGTCTTCCAAAAAATAGCACAAGCAAACTCACCTTGAGTCTTCTTTGTGGGAAAAGTGGAGTATAAATAAACATATAATAATAATAATAATAATAATAATAATAATAATAATAATAGGTAAAGGTAAAGGTTTTCCTCTGACATTAAGTCCAGTCGTGTCTGACTCTGGGGATTGGTGCTCATCTCAATTTCTAAGCCAAAGAGCCGGCATTGTTCATAGACACCTCCAAGGTCATGTGGCCGGCATGACTGCATGGAGCGCCATTACCTTCCCACCCGAGCGGTGCCTATTGACCTACTCACATTTGCATGTTTTCGAACTGCTAGGTTGGCAGAAGCTAAGGCTGACAGCGGAAGCTCATGCTGCTCCCCGGATTTAAACCTGCGACCTTTCGGTCAACAAGCTCAGTAGCTCAGTGCTTTGACCCACTGTGCCACCGGAGGCTCCCTTATTATTATTATTATTATTATTATTATTATTATTATTATTATTATATTTCTACACATGATTAAGCATTTTATATTATTATTATATTATATTATTTCTACACATGATTAAAAACAATTTAGCTGAGAGGGCTGTTGGTATGTTGTTGCTAGCTGTAAAATAAGCCTGCTTAGAGAACAAGCCAGCCACCACCCAGATGTTTTTTTTCTGCAACTGGCAGGCAAATCCACAATGAAGTTCATACTGATGTGCTTCCAGGGCTAAAATGAAGTTGGAAGTGGATGAAGCAGCCGTGATAGTTTGTCCCCTATTTTTTTTTAGCCCTACACAAAATGTGTAGTTGGAAACCCAATGCTTGACACATAGTTTGAACTCTTACCACCATTATTATATCCTAAACAAGTACAAAGTTTTTAGAGACCCAAAATGTTATGTGGTCTTTTATATCATAATATTTCCTCATGAAGCGTTTCAAAGATATAGATCCAATCTCATTTTAGCTAGATATCATTTTGCAATGTGAGCTCCCCCTTGTGGTTCTTTTAACCATTCCTCTTGCTCTGTAGCAGTGGTTCCCAACCTGTGGTCCATGGACCACCAGTGGTCTGCAAGAACTGAAATATGGTCCACAGCCTCACTGTTACTACACTGTGCAGCAAGAGCAACTGGTCTCGCAAACCTCTCTTATAGTGCCAAGGCTTACTAAATATGGTTTTCTGTGGGCAAGCAAATGGTGACTACTAGATGGCATATGTTCTGTATCAGAAACTAGACCTGATGTGGTCTATCCAATGCAGTTTTCTGAATCAGCAGCACAAATAACCAAACCGAATCTAAAATTGACCAAAAACCAATTTGTAACCCTTTTGGTACTAATGTTGGAGAGTGGTCCCTTGGTCAGAGTTGTCCCCGGTCAAGTGGTTCCCTGGTCAAGTGGTCCCTGGTCAAAAAGGTTGGGAACCACTGTTCTATAGCTTATCACTGTCTTTAGTGAATTTGATGAATAGATTTCAGGATTTTTGCTATTCTTCTACTTCGTTTTGCTTGATTCCTTATATCAAATCCCAGCTGTTCAGGGATGAAAAGAGTCTCAATTTCCAGGTGATAATACAGGAGGGAGATGCTTTTCAGAATATTCCAAAACTTAATTAATGAACCTCTTAGAGAACATCTGGATCTGGAGGTGCTAGCTTGTTTACATGATGTATTAATTTACTCCCATGATTATATGTCATATAATTCCATCTTGTCTCCTGCCTATATCATCAGTTGGGAGCCCCCCCACCCCCAGCACCAACTGCTGCCCTGGCCAGAATGAAGAGAGAGGGAGCTACAGTTGAAGACAGTTCCATCTTGTCTCCTGTTCTTTACTAATAATATTATATTATATTATATTATATTATATTATATTATATTATATTATATTATATTATATTATATTATATAGTATAATATAATATACATTGTATATACATATAATATTTATGATATTATAATGTAATACAATATAATACTACTAATAATAATACAATATTATTATTATATATTTTATATTACATGTAATATTGCTAATAATATTACAATATAATGGTGTAGTACAATATAGTAATATATAATACTGATATTGTACTATGCTAATAAAGTAATATATTGTATGTGAATATATATATATTGTAAGCTGCTCTGAGTCCCCTTCATGGTGAGAAGGGCGGCATATAAATGTCGTAAATAAATAAATAAATATGTCACATGTTAATCTAGTTGGTAAAGTTCTGACAGATACAGGCCCTCTCCATAAGAAATGAGCTTATTTTGAGATAGTAAAGCTTTATTTAGGGTAAATGGGAACCAGATAATCTCCTGCTTAATGTCAGAACTGGCAGGCATCATAGGCGTCACATATTTATAGGTTGTGCAGTTCAGATACTTCGTGCACTATTTGCACATTCATCAAAACATGATATACATTACACTTTTCATGGTCTTTTCCTTCATTGGGCAGATGATCAAAACATTGCCCAATTCCCACTTTCTCAGCTTTCACACGGGACATTTCCCCCATATGCCGACATTCCTAACAAAGTTGTAAGCACTAAGAAGGTTGTAAGCACTGCCATTCTCTAAGAAAGTTTTCTCATATATTCCTATTACTTGTTACATGTATGAACATTAAAACATGCATAATGTATATCACTATAGCTGGATATGTATGGTATTACAATAAAATACCAATACATGTTGACCATGACAAAAGCACAGGACAGAACTGTAAAAAGCATGATGGTTACACAGAGCAAAAGCACATGGCCGATCCATAGAGATCAAGGTTAGGCTTAAGGATAGGATCATGAAAAGCTGTTTCTTCTCGCAATGCTAGAATTGCTCTATGAAGAGCTTTTTCTATTAGGCCTCAAGTTAGTTCAATCGCTTACACGCACGTCTCCATAGAACACCCTGAATGGATAGACTGGGGAGACAGGCAGCCACTTGAAAAAGAATGTCAATTAACAAAGTATCTGCCACAGATAAATTAGATAGTTCCAACTCTACTATCTTTATGTGATATAACACAGTTATTATTCTCTTTTTCTCTCTGTCCTTACCCAACTCCCTCCAGCTGACTATATCGTGATGCAGTTTGGTCGTGTGGCAGAGGACATATTCACCTTGGACTTCAATTACCCAATGTGTGCCCTTCAGGCCTTTGCCATTGGACTCTCCAGCTTTGATAGCAAACTGGCGTGTGAATGATAGATGTTGATACACTTTTGTTTTTATTTCTTCACTCATAATTTGTGAATAAAAATATACAATATATTCAGATTGTTTCCCCACATTTTGCATAATTTTGACTATCTGCGTATTTATTACTTTTGGGTTTTGCACGACTGAATCCAAAGCTGTCTGTGTTTATGTCTAGGCGAGGTCTCAAATGACTTTGCTGGAAAAACTAAAGCATGGTGTATGTGTGTGTGTGTGTGTGTGTGTATATATATATATATATTATAAAAATATGCGAAGGGCTTGCCCCAATTCAAAGAAAAGGGGTTTTCAGGAGAGAGAAGTTACGATTTATTATTTATTATTCTTAATGGAGCCACCAATTTGTAATGTGAGGTAATTTTGGGAGATTGGGCACACTGAACGCCGAATCAATGGAGATGAGGCAGTCTTAAAATCAAAGAGAACAAGTTTATTTTGAAACAAAGCGTATGGTTGCAGTTTGGTGATAAACTTGGAAGATACTTGGAGAACGTTACATATAACTTGGTTGCGATACAGTACAGACTTCTGATGTTACAACTTATAAATAACTTTTGCTGTGGTGAAGCACTTTATTAAACAATGTTTCCTGAGGTGAATAGTCTTCCTGTTTGATCCTTCCGTGATCAAACTTCAGATCTCTAGTTCACTTTTAACTAGTGATCTAAACAAGCTTCTATTAGTCTTCTCTAACTAATGAAACTAATAAGGTTTCCCCTTCAGCCTTCCTAAACTGAAGAAACCTCTGACTATTCACAAACACTGCTTCTCTACTTCCCACTCTCTCTCTCTCAACTGCTAACTCCGACTCCAAAACCCTAACTCCTCACTCCTCGGAACCTAAACCCTAACTGACTTTAACTGTCGCTTTTCAAAACTCTCCTCTCTAAGCTCCTCCCACTTCTCTACAGCATCGTTTCCATGGTAACACACTCCTCACAGCTAGGCCGCTCCAGCATTAGGGCAACCAGTGCAAACACCAATACAGTTATAATCTTATCATTTACAATCAACTTCTGTACATATATAAATATAAATATATACATACACACAGATATATACCTATACATACACACATACATATATATCTATACATACAATTTTGTATGTAAATATATATATACACACACACATACATATACATACACACACACGTATACATATTATAAAACCAACAGTTAGGATTAGAACGTTTTAAAACATATGTTAATGTATATATGAGGCTTCTGTGTTGCTGGAAAAAATTAAAGTTCAAAATCCAGAATAATTGCCAAAATCAATACATGTCTGTTATGAGCATCATTTTGTAATAATAATTTTAAAATTTAAATTTACAGAAATAGCCACAGATTATTTTAGAACAATTTTGAAATTCCAAGTTTTTTTATATAATTTTTATACTGTATAATAAACATGTTAAATATTTAGAGGCTGCACTACAGAATTTTTTTTATTTACAGTATTTATAGCCTGCCCTTTTCAACTCCGAAGAGGACTCAGAGCAGCCTTACAAAGGCCACAATCCAATGCCATATACACAACAGACATAAAATAAGCATATACATTAAAATTTAAAATCGTATAAAGATTAAAATACATTATTAAAAATATGCATTCAGAGATCATAGTCAAAAAGTCGTTCCAGTTGTCATTGCACGTTTTCTGTCACCACGTATTGCACTGCACTATTGGCCAAAGGCTTGGTCCCAAAGACATGTTTTTACACGCTTTCTGAAGGTCAGGCGGGAGGGAGCTGTATAGAGAATATACTAGATGTTACAGAGTTATGTAACCACTGCAGGGGTTAAACAGCTATTTCTGTGAAATACTGGCAGAATATAAAAAGTCAAAATGGAAAGCGTGGAATTAACACAAAACACATGTTTATAAGAGATTTCCTAAAAGTAGGCCAGTATTTTCAATCTTATTATGAATAAAATGATCAGATAGACTGAATTCCTTGAACAAGGGTGGTAGAATATTTAGATTTTCCCATTCTCCCTTTGCTATAAGTTTGCAGCATGAAGGCCATGGTTTTAGAAGCTCGTTATATATAAATATCTAGTATTTCCTTGGCTGGGTAGCAGGCTGGATCCTCATCATGGGCCATGCCTGTAAACATCAGTGACTTAACAAACTGCGTCCAGAGCTAAAAGATCTATAAAAACATAATTCCTTATGAGGAGCCTCATAGGGAGCTGGGCATAATTCACTTGGAGAAGAGAAAGTAAAAACGTAATATGATAGCCATGTTTAAATATTTGAAAGGATATCATATAAAGGAGAGAGCAAGCTTGTTTTCTGCTGCTCCAGAAACGAGGACATGGAGCAACAGATTGCAATTGCAAGAAAAGGGATTCTACCTTAACATTAGAAAAAACTTCAGATAGCATTTTTTTTTTTCAATAGTGCAGTATGCCGCTGCCTCAGAGAGAGGTGGAGTCGCCTCCTCTGGAGGTATTAAATAGACACTGGATGACCATTTTGCGGGAGGGCTTTCATTGTGTATTCCTGAATGGCAGAAGGAGGTTGAACTGAATGGCTAAGTGTACCCATATTTAAAGAGTGGGCCTTTTTCTCCCAAGTCAAGGTGATCCCTAGTTTTCAGATTTACAATACTTGGCAAGGCAAGGTAGACTTTGGACCTGACTTTCAAAAATCTATTATTTTCAACACACTGCTTGTACTGCTGGCCAATCTATGAAATCCCATTCCCTCTCCTGTATGAAATCCCATTCCCTCTCCTTATTATACAGGAGAGCTGAAGAGTACTTCATTTTAGAGGCAGGCAGAACATGTCTGCATTTTCAGGAGATTTTTACTGGAATACTACAAAAAGAAGAAGAAGAGGCTTGGGTATGAACTTGAAGTGATGACTAGAAAAGACTAGCAATAATTTTTACTGTCTTCCATAAATAAGCAATGAAAAGTATGAATTAAGCATGGTTAGGTACGTTGGAATCATCGTAATTTGGAATAAATTCGGAAAAATTACATTTTCTAAGCAATTTCGAAGTTTTTAAGAAAACTGGAAGTGCCTTTGCCCTTCTGAAGCTTTTTCCACCATTTTTGTTATGACTCATGAAGTGAGTCGGAAATTATACCGCTTTTCCCCGCTTCTGGTCCCTGGCCTAGGCTCAAGCCAGAGAAGCCAGTTTTAAACCAGAGAAGGAAAGAATTTTCTCTGCTTGCTTTTCTCTGCTTCTAGTTCCTGGTCTTGGCTCAAGCCAGAGAAGCGTTTTAAACCAGAAAAGGAAGGAATTTCCTGGCCTCGGCTCAAGTCAGAGAAGCCAGTTTTAAACCAGAGAAGGAAAGAATTTACTCCGCTTGCTTTTCCCTGCTTCTGGTCCCTGGCCTCAGCTCAAGCCGGAGAAGCATTTTAAACCAGAAAAGGAAGGAATTTCCTGGCCTCGGCTCAAGCCAGAGAAGCCAGTTTTAAACCAGAGAAGGAAAGAATTTTCTCTGCTTGCTTTTCCCCYTTTCTGGTTCCTGGTTTCGGCTCAAGCCAGAGAAGCGTTTTAAACCAGAACAAGGAAGGAATTTCCTGGRCTCGGCTCAAGCCAGAGAAGCCAGTTTTAAACCAGAYAAGGAAATAATTTTCTCCACTTGCTTTTCCCCGCTTCTGGTTCCTGGTTTCGGCTCAAGCCAGAGAAGCGTTTTAAACCAGAGAAGGAAAGAATTTTCTCCACTTGCTTCTCCCCGCTTCTGGTTCCTGGTTTCGGCTCAAGCCAGAGAAGCGTTTTAAACCAGAACAAGGAAGGAATTTCCTGGCCTCGGCTCAAGCCAGAGAAGCCAGTTTTAAAGCCAGAGAAGGAAGGAATTTCCTCCGTTTGTTTTCCCCCGCTTCTGGAGTAAAACAATTACTTTCAAATTAAAGACCACCCAATGAAACAGGAAATAACACTTTCAAATCATTAACAAAAGGATTTGGAAGTCTCTGAAGTTTCAAAAAGTGTTGAACATTTTTTTTGGTGAGAATCGGAATTGACTTTAGAATTGAACTACCAGCGCCCCCTACACCCAAAATGAGTTTTGAACCTTTTTTTATCAAACAAGCCTAGTAAGAATCCTAATGTTTGAACTGCTGATCTCAGGCCACCAACCCTGATGGGAAAAATATATAAATGATGATTGACCATTAAACACAGATGTCTCCACATAACACTTTCTCGGGAAAAAAATGAACATCTTAATTGGATTCCTTTGAACTGTACTTGTAAAACTGTATAATCTGAAAACTGGTTATATTGCCCTCTCTTCTGTGTCATCAAGCCATAGGAAAGGAACCTAAGAACCATTGCGTGTAGTAAAGGAAGGATTATTTAACCAGTACTGTGAAATGAAGACGTGTATGTTAACAACTAAAAAGGTTCACCTTTCCATACCTGAGCAAAAAAAAATGTGCCATATCAACTGACAGACATGCAACAATGCTTGCAAATGAATAGAATACTAACAGCCTGCTCATAGGACACTCAATACAAAACAGGCACGTACAACATATTCCAGATACCGTATATCCACAAAGCATTAAAAGATGTACCTTTCTTTCCCAAGTTGATCTTGTGCTTAGTTTTCACAGAGTTCTATGACATTTTCTCAGGACACCAAAACAACGTGCGCCCTTTCACACATGTGATCTGCAAATCACTTGTATTGCCTGTAGATGTTCTTATCATGCCATAGGAAAGACAGCTGGACAATTATGTCTGTAATGTACATTAATTTCCATCCTCATTACGGGCATAGAGGTATTTGGAAAGGATGGCCAATCCAGTTCTTTTAAGGACATGTTTGCATAGGCAGAAAAAAGGACATGCAAAGATACAGAGTGGGAGGTGCCTGGCTTGAAAAAGATCTTGGAGTTCTTGTGGACAGCAAGTTAAACATAAGCCAACAAGGTGATGTGGTGACACAAAAAGCCAAGGGGATTTTGGCCCACATCAATAGGAGTATAGTGTCTAGATCCAGGGAAGTCATGCTACCCCTCTATTCTGCCTTGGTCAGACCACACCTGGAATCACACTGTGTCCAATTCTGGGCACCACAATTGAAGGG